CAAGTCTTAAACTTGCCAAGTTTGAAGAACCTTGCCTTAGAAGATTTAGCCACCGGTGTGGAAGTCTACATGATGAATATGTAGCATGTGTATAGGTGACTCACCCCAATATACCTGAAGCATTGATTCAATTCTGCTTTGTGACCATCAGTTCTTCTTGAGGCTTCAGGTGCTGCCCTGACTTTTGTTGCTTTTTCTGAGACCTTGTTTTGCCCCACTGCCAACTAAAAAAAATATAGCGAGGGGGGTAACATTGCATGTTTTGTAAAAAAATAATAATAATAACTTGGATACACAGATGTGCTTTGCAAAAAAGAAAATATCAGCATCTTAGATATGTTGACTTACAGAGAAGGAACAGCTTGAAATTTCCAAAGCAAAAGATTATTGTGTTCTGGCTTTCTTTAGAAAATACCACCTCTTTTCATCTTCCTTTGCTTTGAACTTCAGTTAAATGATGTCTTCAAAGTTTCCTCTTTTTTTAAAACTACTTGAAAATACTTTTTTTTAAAAAAAAAAAAAGTTAAAAAGACGTGGTATTCAGCGGAGTGCTTTTGTGTACTGCCCAGGGAACTACTTGTTAACAAGGAAGAGGAAAACAGGGGAAATTAAACCACATGGGGGAAGGCAAGCAAAGAGCCAGTTATGATCTTAGCTAGCTCAGGGCTCTCCAACCTTAGCAACTTTAAGACTTGTGGGTTTAAACTCCCAGAATTCCTCAGCCAGCAAAGCTGAAGAAGTCCACTAGTCTTAAAGTTGCTAAGATTGGAGACCCCTGAGCTAGATCAATGAATGGCTTGATGGGAAGGGCAGAGACGTCTTCCTTGCCAGACTGTCTGTGCTCCACAATCCCCCAAAAGTCATTTGAAGAGGATAGCAAGAGTTCAGTCGAGTCCTCTGAAAGCTGATGTAGGTCCCACAAAAAAAAATCACACACACACACACACACACACAAACACATACGCACAACCCCTCCAGCCTATGCAAAAGGCAATCCACTTGTTTGATAACTTTACTAGACTGTTTAAACTAGAAATATAAAAACAAACACAAACTAATAATGGAGATAGGACAGAGAATAAAGAGCAAAGCCAAAAGTGCAGGAAAAAAAAGAGAAAAAGAAAAGAATTGACTTCTGGTTTTCTTTTATAACAGACAGAAGTATGAATTTAAATTTAAACCACTTGCTCTAAAGTTACATCAGTTTCATTTTTCCTATAATCTACGATGTTTCTAATCATCAAAAGGAGGTGCCACAATTTCTTTTCTTTCTTTCTTTTTTATTTCACAGAGAAGGGTTTTCAAATCAGCATTCATGTTAATTGGTGTATTTTCTCGAATCAAAATGTCAATGTTGTCATCCCTGCCAGTGCCGTAAAATGGTTTCTTCTCTTCCCAAAAGGGCTGTTTTCCAACTGGCACAGCTCCCCTGTTGAGAAAGTCTTGTTGTATTAAAAATAGCAAAACCAAATGTAGGCTAGGTACATGGGATGCAAATAATCAGATGCATGGTATTTTTGACTTGGATTTCTAGTTAGAAAAACAAATAGGCAACCCTTCAAAGAAACCTCCCAATATTTAGAAATAGAATAGAATGAGCTGGAAGGGACCTTGGAGGTCTTCTAGTCCAGCCCCTTGCTCAAGCAGGAGACCCTATACCATTTCAGAGAAGTGACTGTCTAGAGCAAGGGTCTTCAAACTTGGGAAGTTTAAGACTTGTGGACTTCAACTCCCAGAATTCCTGAGCTAACATGACTAGAGGAGGAATCCTGGGAGTTGAAGTCCACAAGTCTTAAAGCTGTCAAGTTTGAAAACCCCTGGAGACTCTTCTTAAAAACCTCCAGTGATGGAGCACCCACGATTTCTGGATGCAAGCTGTTCCACTGGTAAATTGACCTACAAGGACCCTTCCAACTCTGTTAATCTGTATCAGTGCTTAGGCATACTGAATTATCCTCACTGTTTAAAAATTTTTTCTTTAATTCCAGGTTGCTTCTCTCTTTAATCAGTTCCCATCCCTTGTTTCTTGTCCTGCCTTCTGCTGCCTTGGAGAATAATTTGACCCCCTCTTCTTTATGGCAGCCCCTCAAATACTGGGATACTGCTATCATGTCATCCCTAATTCCTCTTTTCTTTAGACTAGCCAGACACAAATCCTGCAACCGTTCTTCATATGGTTTAGTCTCCAGGCTTTTGATGATCATCTTAGTTGCTCTTCTCTGAACTTTTTCCAAAATCTCAACATCTTTTTTGTAGTGTGGTGACCGAAATTAGTTGCAGGATTCCAGTGCCACATTTAAATCACACCTGAATTAAAACATCCATTTTCTGATAGGTATAAAATTAACTTTAATTACCGAGAGTCGCTTGATGGGGGACATGCAGATTTAACAAATAAAATAATAATAAACCTTTCCATATTCAGGGAAGGGTTTTTTTTTTGAGGCTAGTCCAAGACTTTTTGGGCAGAAACTGGGCCCCGATCCAGCTCTTACTGCTTTCTACAGGTGGCTTGGCAGCAGTGATTTACACGGACACCCTGCAGACGGTTATCATGTTGGCTGGCGCACTCACCCTGATGGGCTTCAGTGAGTACTCTATGTGTGTGTGTGTGGGTGTGTGTATGAGTGGTGGGTTTCCAAATTTTTCCCTACCATTTCTATGTGCGCGCACATGCAGGGCTCAAATACTGACCTCTGTCAAGGCTGGATAGCTGCTTGGAGTGTTTTGAAGTTCAGCTGAGGCACGGCAATCTGTTCTGCTGCGTGAATCAGCTGAACTAAACAACAAGGAAATATAGGAGAGGTATCGGCAGGTGCAGGTGGGCAGGGCCAGCTAAAGGTGGTATTTGCTGGTTCTCCAAACAGTCAAACATTTTGCTAACAGTACTTCAGAACTATTCTGAACCATCTGAACCGGCTGAATACCACCTCTTGGGGGTGTGTGTGTATGAGTGTGTGTTCAGAATTGCTGTTCCTTAGCTTGCTGTCTGTGGAGGCAGCTGAACTGTTTCTGTTGTGGTCCACCAACAGTCTGCGGAGCTGGCAGCAGAGTTAGACAGTGGGGAAGAACATGGGCAAGTCTGGGAATCTGGAGAGGACTCAGGCAATGGTCCTGCGTCAGATACCGAGATGGAGCCAGGGCCATCTGGAAGTTATGTGCTGACTCCGGAGCTTCCAGAATCTGGCAGCAGCGAGGCAGAGGAACAGGGGGAGCCTGTTCTCAGTGCGCGTATGCACAGAGCTGCCAGAAGGCAAGAGCAGCTAAGACAAAAGGGGCGACTTGGGAGTAAGGCTTGGAGGTGACTGACCCTTCCCATAAGACATAGAGGAGGAGCAAAGGGACTTTGCAGGAAGTAACTTTGTTCATTCTGGTCAGTTTAAAATCTGAAGGTCTGTGTTGACTTGGTGCTCTGTTTGGCCTTGTACAACTAATTTAGTCATTGGCAGCAATTCAAGGGAGATAAAGGTGTGTGCTTATCAGCCTTATCCCGAAAGACTGTGGCAGACTTCTGTTGGACTACTCATCAACTGTTTGGGATTCATTACGGGCTGTGAATGCATCTAATTCACAGCCGTTGAAATAAAAGAAAAAGGGTTTTGGGAACAGCGGGTGATTGTTACTGTCTCAGGAAGCCTTGGTCAGAACAGTTTCAACCTCTCTAGGCTTTGCCAAAGTCGGAGGCCTTGAGGACCTGAAGAACAGATACTTCAAAGCCATTGCAAGCAACCACTATGGAAACACCAGCTGCGGCTTGCCAAGACAGGATGCCTTCCACATATTCCGGGACCCTGTCACATCTGACTTTCCCTGGCCAGGAATCCTAGTGGGAATGACCATCCCGTCTTTGTGGTACTGGTGCACTGACCAGGTAATTCAACTTATCAGCTATGTTTGTCTTCTGGGTGAGGAAGAGCTTTGAAAGATAATGGTTTCCCATGTCCAATTGTATCTGACTCTAGGGTCTGGTCCTCATCTCCATTTCTTAGCTGAGGGAGCCAGTTCTGTCCAAAGACATTTTTTGTGGTCATGTAGCCAGCATGGCTATATGCCAAAGGCTCACAAAAACCGGTCACCTTCCCACTGAAGTGGTACCTATTGATCTACTTGCATTTGCATGCTATCAAAACTGCTAGGTGGACAGGAGCTGTGGCAATTAACAGGAGCTCGTCCCTTTGCATGGCACTCGGATCTTGAACCCGGGCTGTCCGTTGACCAGCTCAGTGTCTTTAACTACTGAACCATTGCGGGTCCTAAAGAGGGAGAGTTTTAAAAGAAGAGAGATTGCCACCATGTACCAGGAAGTAATAGTATTGCTTTAAGGGAGATGTTGAAACATGGCTCACAAAGAGGATGGATTAGATTAGATTAGATTAGATTAGATTAGATTAGATTAGATTACAGAGTTGGAAGGGACCTTGTAGGTCATCTAGTCCAGGGGTCCCCAACCACCGGGCCCCGGACCAGTACCAGTCCGTGGATCATTGTCTACCGGGCCGCCGGTTTGCTGGGTGCCGCCATCTTGTTTCGACAAGAAAGTGCTTCCGGGTGAGCTTTTCCGGTTGAAAAGCGGCGTTTGGGTCCTGAAGGAATCCTCGCGCCTTAGTTTCATCGAAGGGGGGGGGCTTCGAACAAAGAGCCCTCCTGATGGCAGAGGTGATTAAGAAAGCACAAAAAGCACAAAAAAGGTACAAAGGAGGAGTTGAAGGTGGCGGAGAGAAGCGGGGGACGGCTGGCTGGCCGGTCGCTCGGCTTGCCTTGCCTTGTCATGCGTGCTGATGCCGGTACCGGGCCGTGGATCATTTTGTGATGCCGGTACCGGGCCGTGGCACAAAAAAGGTTGGGGGCCACTGATCTAGTCCACACATACCCCTGCCCAAGCAGGAGACCCTACACCATTTCTGACAGATGGAGGTCCAATCTCTTCTTGAAAGTCTCCAGGGATGAAGCTCCCACAATTTCCAAGGGCAACTTCTGTTCCATTGGGTGATTGTTCTCACTGTCAGAAAATTCCTCCTTATTTCTAGGTTGAATCAGTTCAACCTTCATCAGTTTCCATCCATTATTCCTTGTCTGGCCTTCGGGTGCCTTGGAAAACAGCTTGACCCCTTCCTCCTCTCTGTGGCAGCCCCTCAAATCTTGGAAGATTGCTATCCTGTCTCCCCTGGTCCTTCTCTTCCCTAGACTAGCCCTGCCCAGTTCCTGCAACCGTTCATCGTATGTTTGAGCCTCCAGTCCCCTAAAATCATCCTGGTTGCTCTTCTCTGCACTTTTTCTACAGTCTCAACATCTTTTTTATAGTGTGGTGACCAAAATGGGATGCAGTACTTTAGGTGTGGTTTATAGAGTGGTATTAGTACCTCCCTTGATCTTGATTGTATCCCTCTGTTAATGCAATTTAGGATTGCATTGGCTTTTTCTGGCTGCCGCTACACACTGCTGGCTCATATTTAGCTGGCTGTCCACTAGGACTTTACTTTTCTCTACGTTGAATTGGATGGAAGAAGATGCGGCTGCTTTAAATAGGGTCATGAGTGCTTGCTTAAGCAAGTTTGCACAACTTCCTCTGAATCACTTCCCAAGGGTGGCAGCTGAAATGTCTGGCATTATGAGAACAACTCAGCCATCCGCCCACATAGTCATGTGCTGTCATGGTAATACAGCAGGTCCCTGGGTTAAGAATGCCCCGATTTCTGGATGACCCATGATTAAGAATGGAGCCTATTGTTACAAAATTTGATTCAAATACACAATGATTCGAGTTAAATATACAGTGGTTCAAGTTCATTGCGCAATGCTGTTTATACAGTATTATATAACATTGTTCCGGCTTACGTACACATTTGACTTAAGGGCAGACCTTGGAAATAGAAGTCATCCCTTCAGCTGGGAATTACCTGTACTCATGACTCATATTTGTGAACCTGCAGAGTCACATTTTGTGAGATAAATAGAACATAGAATAATAGAGTGGGACCTTGGAGGTCTTCTAGTCCAACCCCCTGCTCAAGCAGGAAACCTTATACCATTTCAGACAAATGGTTTTTCAATCTCTTCTCAAAAGTGTGAGTTGTGATGGAGCACCCACAACTTCTGAAGGGAAGTCACCCCATTGATTGATTGTCAGGAAATTTCTCCGTAGTTCTAGGTTGCTTCTCTCCTTGGTTAGTTCCCATCCATTGCTTCTTGTCTTGACTTCTGGTGCTTTGGAAAATAAGGTTGGTAAATAAATAAATACTGATATGGTTGGTACCATGATCCAACCCAAGTGGATGTTCTGAATGAGCAGCATTCTGATGGGGAGGACGCCCCCTCCCTTCTCCTGATTACATGCCTTTAACCCAGGCTTCCTACATTCAAGGTCAACATTGTCAGCCTTCAGAACGCAGCATCTCAATAGCCACTGTCTATATGGAGTCGAGGGAAGAGCAAATGGCCTTGACAGACAGGAGGAAGAGCTGCTTCCAAGGCAACAGTCAGATAACATGGCCATAAGTCCCTGGCAGAGAAAACAATGTGAGAAAAATTCTCAGACAAGCCCTCCTCCACCCCTAATTCACACAAAGATAAAGGGAGGGGCAAGGACATTCAGACGTGCAAGATTCTGTTCCTAGAGCTTTACCATAAAAGCATCCTAAAAGAGCCGCAGTGGTGCAGTGGTTAGAATGCAGTACTCTGCAGGCTACTTCTGCTGCCTGCCGGCTGCCTGTAGTTCGGTAGTTTGATCCTGACTGGTTCAAGGTCAGCTCAGCCTTCCATCCTTCCGAGGTTAGTAAAATGAGGAGCCAGATTGTTGGAAAACCTGCTGATTCTGTAAACCGCTTAGAGAGGACTGTAAAGCTCTGTGAAGCAATATTTAAGTCTAAGTGCTATTGCTTGCGAAGGAAGGAAGGAAGGAAGGAAGGAAGGAAGGAAGGAAGGAAGGAAGGAAGGAAGGAAGGAAGGAAGGAAGGAAGGAAGGAAGGAAGGAAGGAAGGAAAATGAGAAGGAAGGAAGGACAATGAGGAAAAGGAAGGAAGCTGTAGTTAGAAGGCAGTATTGCAGGTTACAGTTCAATTCTCATTGGTTCAAAGTTGGCTCAGCCTTCCATTCTTCCGAGGTTAGTAAAATGAGGAGCCGAGCCAGATTGTTGGAAAACCTGCTGATTCTGTAAACCGCTTAGAGAGGACTGTAAAGCACTGTGAAGCAATATTTAAGTCTAAGTGCTATTGCTTACAAAGGAAGGAAGGAAGGAAGGAAGGAAGGAAGGAAGGAAGGAAGGAAGGAAGGAAGGAAGGAAGGAAGGAAGATGAGAAGGAAAATGAGAAGGAAGGAAGGACAATGAAGAAAAGGAAGGAAGCTGTAGTTAGAAGGCAGTATTGCAGGCTACAGTTCAATTCTCATTGGTTCAAAGTTGGCTCAGCCTTCCATCCTTCCGAGGTGGGTAAAATGAGGAGCCAGATTGTTGGGGTCAATAGATTGACTCTGTATACTGCTTAGAGAGGGCTGGAAAGCACTGTGAAGCGATATATAAGTTTAAGTGCTATTGCTAATGCTACTTGCCTTTTTTTTTTTTTTTTACTATGGTCTACTTTGTTGGGGTGACATTTGGGTACATCTTCATTTACCTTCTAGGTTCTGGATTTGGAGGCATCTGCAAGTCCAGAACCAAGGAAGCCAAAGCGCTTTTAAAAATTGCTTGAAACTTTGGACTGTTGTGACCTCCATCTTGAATTTATCGGACTACACCTTGCAGACTCCCCTGGTGTGATGGGAGAGGCTGTTCTAGGTGAAGAAGGGGGAAAAAAACAAACAACCCTTTCCATCTCCTTTTCCTTTGAAGGTCATCGTCCAACGATCTCTGGCAGCGAAGTCTCTCTCTCATGCCAAGGGTGGTGCCCTGCTGGCGTCCTACTTGAAGATCCTGCCCCTCTTCATGATGGTCCTGCCTGGCATGATCAGCCGCATCCTCTTTCCAGGTCAGAGCGAGCAGGGAGGCCCAGGAAGGAAAAAAGCACCTGGAAAAGAAGCAGCATTTGGATTTATTTTAATTTTTTTTTTGAGAATTACGCTTTCCCTCGTAGGCTGACTTGGTTTGGTTCTAGCCCAGTCTGGATGAACTGAGAAAGAGTCTGAGAAGACAGCCTCTCGTTTATTATTATTTAATAATTATTAATATATTACTATTTAATTATTATCAATATATTATTTATTATTTAATAATTAATATACTCTGTTTATTTAATGCATTGTTAATATATTTTATTTAATGCATTATTAATATACTATTATTATTTAATAAATGATTAATACACTATTTTTATTATTT